CCAAGGCGCCAAGGTACTATATGGCAGTTCACATTTACTCGCCTCATCGTATGATCAATGTCCTCGAGGTTTCGCTGGAGAGTTGTTCCGACGATGACCCAGATAAACAGATCAATCAAGCGTGCATCGACTTTAAATCTGAAGACTACCAGGTAGCGCTTGATCGTTTCCTTTCCGTGGTCAGGCAACTCGGATACACTGCCGATCTGCGTTACAATATCGCACTTTGTTACTTCAAGCTGAAAAACTACACCCAGGCGCTGCGCTACACGGCAGATGTGATCGAAAATGCAATTAAGGACCATCCAGGTACAAGCAGCTGCAATTTCTGTTTTTCTCTTCATTTTTATTATGACGATGACATATACAAATGTTATTCTTTCATTCAGACGGGTTCCCCAAAGAACGTTTAAATTTGGGATACGATAGTACACGTTACTGGTTGAATTGAAGCTTCGCCATGGACACGCATAAGGGACACTACTTTTCTGACATTTCTTGATAGTCCCAATCAGACATCAGGTATCTGAGTTGCAACTGAAATGATTTTCATAAAAATAATGATGATCTTTCACAGTGCTCTTGTAGTGAATTAATATCGCCAATGCCACTAAATTCGTTTCTTCAAATTTGCAAGGCGCACGCATCTCCTAGACAGAACAGCCTTAAAGACCAAAAACGTTATGTAGGTCTTAGCTACTGCGTTGAGTCAACGACTGATAGGTTCTCGACAACATTTAAAGTTGCCTCGGCCATTATCCTAAACTACTGTAATGTTTTAGTCTCTAGTGCATTACTGTGTGAAGTTTTGCAGGCAATGTAATGATGAAATGCTAAAGCGCTATGTTAACAGTATCATGTATTCTCATACATTAATATCACATAATATAATATTAAATTCAATGGTACGACCATACAGAAATATATGTTATCTAGTAATGATATATGCTGGACAAGTATGGAATATTGTACGATAGTGTTAGTAGAATGCCATACCAAAGTACTAACGGATTTTTGCACAGTCCTGTACGTATATTACTGTGCAGTATCGCATTATACAAACAGTGTTATGCAATGAATACATTATAACGATTTCCTCCCTGGGCCCGTTAATCAAATTACAGATGCGCTGTCGATTCGTGGTTGAATCTACACAGATTTGAAATTGTAGCACTATTTTCGCTATGCTCTTTGTGGCATCGTTAGGGTGAAACTGATTATCAGGCTACTAGTCGCCTTATATAAGTAAGTGGCCAATTAGAACCAGAATATTTGCACTCTTGCGATGCTGCACAATACTTAGGGAAACGCGTTGGTGCTGAAAGTGGCAAACTCTCTGTGGTTTGGTGCCCTAAATCATGAATCGGTAGCACATGTGTGGTATTATGTGTTATGCTGTTATGCTGTTACTCTTCTACTTTTGAATCATTCTTCAGCGGGAATAATATGTGAGATTGGATCAATATCGATAGAGAGCTTGAAGCACTTCACAGCCGCAGCAGAAGATCCAGCAGCTGCAGAAAGAATCTCGCGCCATTGGATGGGAGAGTTGGATGATCAAGTGGATGTTTTGGCACAGCCGTATGGACGCAGACCACTGGTTGGTGCCAGCGCTCGTTTCTGAGGCAGCCGCATTGAATCTGTATAGCCGGACAGTGGTCAGCTGCATCAACTGCGTGATTCAGCCAATCATGATATATGTCAATGGGTAGCTGTCTACGACTGAAATACGATGCCGTTGTCAAACTAATCAATTTCTTATTACAACTCTATTTTGTGATTACTGTGCGATGGCAGGCGCAGTACAGCAGTCACGAGTTTGAGTTTATGTCATTGGCAGATGGCTATCAGTATCAATTATTTTACTTCACCTATCACATTGCCTATTAATGGAAAGCCATGTGAGTTGTTAAACTTTTCGATGATTTTTATTTTATTTATGATTCACTCGTGGAGGCTACGCGTGGTCGCTAAGTCATCCCGCCCACATTTAATAGGGTGTCAGAGTTTGCATAATTGCAGGTAGTCATCTGTACTAATTACA